GAGAGAGAGAGAGAGAGAGAGAGAGAGAGAGAGAGAGAGAGAGAGAGAGAGAGAGAGAGAGAGAGAGAGAACTGGGTGAGGGTGAGGGTGAGTAGAAGGAAGAAGCAACAAAACAGTATTCGGCAATTTCGAGCATAATTGGAAAAGTCATGTGGTGAATTAATAAAATATACAAGGCATACAAGGTAAGTCTGTATGGATCGTGGTCATGTGGTATTCTAAGTGTGTATAAAAAAGAGATTCCTCGTAGCTTTTCTGAATTCTAGCTGAGCTCACGACTGTCGAATCGGTTAGTCTCAGCCGAAGCCGGGTAATGGCCCCCCCTGTAACTCAATCTGTTTTTTTAACTTTTTTAACTTTTTCCATATGTTCTCCAATATCTTCTCAAATGGGACGCTGGGCCCGGTTCCCAGCACATGTTGCTCCCCACGAATAGATTGGAGCATGGTTCCCAAATATAAAATTGAAAAAAAAAAAAAAAAAAAACCTTAAAAAAGTGGACATAGAATGAACAGGAAGCGTAGGAGGACGAAGAAGCAGCGAGGAAAGAAGGACGAAGGAGGGAGTAGAGAAGGAGGAAGGAGGGAGGACGGAGGAGTGTCGGAGAGACGGAGGGAATATGGATGGAGGGAGGGAGACTGCAGCCTGTATCAGCTCTGTGCCACAGCTGGTGCCTCTGACGTGTCTGCACCTCCCTCTGTGACCACAGCTGGCTCCGTGTTTACCGACTGCTGCTCGACTTTGTCGCCACCAGTAGCTTCAGCCCACCATCTATTGATCTCTTCAACTGCAGCTGGTCCACCGCCAGTCTTACCCCGATCGATTAGGTCGATAGCCACAAAATTAGGTATGCGGTCGCACTGCGCATTTGCTGCCTTGCAAGCCTCTCGACACGCACGCGCATGATTGATGATTTTGTCTTTGCTGTTTATTTTAGCCATTACTCTGGTTAGCATCTCAAAGACGTTCACAGCCACCGACGGGAAATGATTCAGAACGAACAACGTGTTTGGGCAGGTGAGAGGATAATTTTTGCTCCGTGCATCCATCCATGTCGTTGAGCTGGTGCCCGCGCTTCCGTACACGTTCTGTGTGCAGTAGCGCCATTCATACGGAATACCATCATCCCTGTTGTCTGAGAACAGCACAAGCCGCTTGTTCTTGTCAACCATGTCCTGCATTTTGTCAAAGGGATGATGGAATGCAAACGGCACATTGATGAAGCAAGACCAAGAGTGAGAATTCCATCGACCAAATTGATTAACCAGTTGATTGATTGATTGGTTGGTTGGTTGGTTGGTCAGCGGGTGGGTAGGTTGGTAGGTTGGTTGGCGGATCAGTCTGTGGGTGGGCGGGTCGGGTTGGGGGGGAGAGGTTGGGTGGGTTGGTTGGTGGGTTGGTTGGTTGGTTGATCGGTGGGTCGGTTGGTGCATCGGTGGGTGGGTAGGTTGGTGGATCAGTCGGTCAGTGGTTTGGTTCGTGGTCGGTGGGTTGGTTGGCGGGTCAGTGGGTTGGTTGGTGGGTGCGAGGGTCGGTTGGTGGGTCGGTGGATCGGTGGGTTGGGTGGTTGGTTGGGTTGGGTTGTTCGGTTGGTGGGTGGTTCGGTTGGTTGGTCGGTGGGTCGGTGGGTTGGGTGGTTGGTTGGTTGGGTGGCTGGGTGGGTGGCTGGTGGGTGGGTTGGTCGCCCGGTGGGTTGGTTGGCTGGTTGGCTGGTTGGTTGGTTGGTTGGTTGATTGATTGATTGATTGATTGATTGATTGATTGATTGGTTGGTTGGTTGGTTGGAAGGAGGGAAGGGGATGGGGGATGGGGGAGGGACGTGTGTGTTTGGGATGTTACAGACTGCTGCGCATGTCGTGCATTTGGCTGGTATCAGTTGAGAATTGTTACATGATGTCCACATCCGGTGCTAGCAAGGTCCAAAATAGCAGCATAACCAAGCCACCAAGAAAATATAACTTCAACAGGAAGAAAAAGACAAGGATTGTGACAGACTGTTTCATTGAACTTTCCCTGACTGATCAGGAGTTTGGACCCCCAACATTCTGTAGAAACCCATATTGATCACAAAAGGGACACCTTCTCACTGCCCGCTGCTTGCGGCAAAACAACCCTTTATTTCTTTGCCTTTGTCAATCGTTTGTCCCTTTATGTTAATGGTCCTCCAGTTCACCACCTCCTCCTCCCTTATCCTACCCATGCCTGCCTGTCAGCTCCTCTCAGCCTACCACTGAGCTGCCTGATTCGACCCTGCCAAGATGGTGATGGGCGATGGTCCGGGGTGGTTAACACTAGGGTAGGACAGGAGAGGTGGGGGTGCGCCAGGGGGGGAAAAAAGATGAGAGGAAGGGTGGGTGGGGTTTTCAGAGGGGTTCATCTGGACAACCAAATGACCGATTACTGTGGGTGACTGTCATCTGTCTAGTATCCCACCTCTACAACAACCTGGGCTTAAAAAAAAAAAAAAAAAGGGGGACTGGATATCCATCCTAGAACAGACTGGCCCGTATTTCTATTCTATAGCAGTCTCTACCCCTCGCATCCCTTTCCTTCCATTCCATATTAGCTTTATGTCCCTGGCTTTCATCTCCCTCTTCTTGCCTGACCCGTGAACTACGCTTTGTATTGCTGCTTCTATTCCTCCCTCAACCATTATACCCTTTTGTTTTATTTTGGTATCCGTCTCTCTGGTCCATCTTCTGCCTCTTGGGTCCCCTGAACACCTCTGTTTCGTTTCCCGAACCAGTTTTTGAATGTCAAAAAATTGTAGCACCATTAGTCAATTTGGTCCCCCTCTACCTCTCTGCTAACAAGCTCTATCCTACTCTCTTCCCCCGAATAGAACCCACAGTCATGTGCGCTGTACCTAGATTCTAGACTGAGAGTTGCCTTAAACACAGCCGTAATGACCGTACATTCTATTCGGGAGAAGATAGTAGGTGCTGTAAGTCGAAGGATTTAAGTAGCCTTTTTCTCTTGCCGCGTATGTGTATGCAAGTGTGCCGCTTCATGGTGGACACGTGCGTGCGCACTTGGCGCTTAACCACACAAACATTGCCAACCTTGCATCTCTTCTATTAAATTGCCTATGTCATATGTATAGCATTGTATACCTTCCTTGTTTTATGGATGGTTTGCGGAGGACTTGTGAATGGAATTAGGAGAGAGTTTGGGGATGTTGACAGACAGACACACACACACACACACACACACACACACACCCACACACCCACACACCCACACTCCCACGCACACACACACCCACAATCAGTTTTTTTTGTATGTCTGTCTTGTTCTTGTTGTTTGTCTTTCCACTGATTTTTTCTGAGTATTTTTTGTGTGCCGAGCTGAGCACCCTCAAGCAGTGCCAAACAGTCGGTCATTCCTGGTTTGGAGTGCCTACAACACTCTTAGGGGGGGGGCTCAGTCCGGGATGTCTGTCTGCCCTACGGCTTTGCATCCGTGTTGGATGTGTGGACTGCCTTGTCTGCGCTCTGCTGCTGCCTTGCTGCCTGTTCCGCTTGCTTCGCAGGTCCAAGCTGTTGTGTTCGCTATGTCGTGTGGCCGTGCTGTTGGTGTTGCCTTGCGCTTCGCTGCTCCGCTGCCTTCCCGCCCATCCGCAGGCCGTGCCTTACGTGTCCTTCGCTTGCGCACCTTGTAGTTTGGTTGCCTTGTTGGTGTTGCCATGTGCTTCACCGCATGGGTGCTGTGCTGCTCACCCGCTCGCCCTGTTGTCCCTTGCATTGTAGTTGCCTTGTTGGTGTTGCCTCATGCTTAACTGTGTGGTTGCCGCGCTGCGCGTTCTGCTTGCTGCATCGTTCCTTGCATTGGTCTTTGGCGTTCAGCAGTCCTGTTGCTTCTGGAGCGTTGCCTGGTGCTTCGCTGGGTTGCTGCCCGCTGTTGTGTTCCGTTTGGGGACAGTCTGCCCTCAACAAGGGTCAAAGGGTTCATGACCCGAACCATCAGATACGGAGACTCGGCAGACTGTCGAGGGTTCAGCCTTCAGATGAGTTGGTGCAACTCCGACGAAACAATCTTTCATCATCAGTTTAATTTTGTTCGGCCTTTGCAATTTTTTGGGACTTGTATTTTTTTCTTGTTTGCCTTGTTTGTGCCTTGCTACTTTTTCTGGCTTGGTCCTTTCTGCTGTTTGTCTACCCATCCGCCTCCCCCAAGCCCTCCAGCCTTTGTCATTTGCCTTACTGTCTTACGTGCCTTGCTCCCTTGTGTCATTTGTCGGCCTTTCGGTCTTGTATTTCTTTTCTGCTTTTCGTATGTCCAGTGGACCTAGAATGTCTGTTGACTTTACTCACTGAGATGTGTGCTTTCCTCCTGGAGAGTGGCAGTTATACAGTGCATGGTCTTATACTGTGCAAAAGATGAACTATATGTGTGTTTACAACTTGACACACACACACACACACACACACACACACACACACACACACACACACATATACAAGCTACTAGGAGAAGACATGCAGGCAAAGGCGGGCTTTTGAGATGGGAATGCAAGCTAAAGGTATTCCTACGGGAAACACACAGAGTAAGTTGATACTTGGACCCCAGTACTGAAGGGTTTCAAACCCATATTCTGAGCCGGAACCCAATCCCGGCTTGTCTGTATTTACCCGGGTTCAGGATTTCCCCGCCCATCTGCCCATAATGTAATACCCGGTAGAGTACCTAACCACCCATCCATGAGTAGGTACCAAATGTGCATGGGCCCCTGGCCGCTGCAACGCGTTTTTTTTCAGAGATTCGGACGCAACCCCTGAAAATTCCCTCCTAGCCCAGCGCCTGAGACCGGCACCGGGACTTTGATAAAAAACAGGCTGCGCAATGCAGTGAAGAAACTGGACGTAGATGATTTGTATGCTGACCGGGTACTTGGCTGGATACATCCCTTGAGCTCGGATATTATCGAGCGGGGTTTTCGAATGCGTGCCCTATGACCAACTGACGCGCGCCCTATGACAAACCACGGAAATTCCCATGGCTTTCTTTGAACATCCCCGAAATTGTACTTATACGACCCTCTACACCCACCTCAGAGTACGAATGAGTTGCTTGCTTTGAACATTGCTATCTGCCTGATTGCTACGAGCGGAGTCGACGACGCAGTTGAGCTTCCTGACTATGGCGGACTGGGACTTCACCACTGGGGTGGACGAGGACTTGCCAATCACGCCGGAGCCCGACGAGGATATTGCGGCGGAGGCGGCGGTATATGGTCCCTTTTTGCCTACCCCTCTGGGTGTGTGTGTGGTATTATGGCTGTCTGTGCTGCCTGAGTGTGGATGTGCAACTTTTGCAGGAAGTAACCCCCTCTGATGAGCCGAATAAGTGGCGACGACGAAAAAGCTTTTAGGGGATGCCATGCCCCTCCTGCTGCTATGTTATTTCCATGATTGCGACCAAGCCACCACCTATCTTCATCCCAGACATTCTGCCTAGTCGAGTTCACTGGTTGTGGTACTTGGCTCGTCATATACTAATAACGGGAATTGTATAGCTGATTAAGTTCGTCAAAGTGACCTGGGCATGGAACGATTGGATTGCATGATTTGTAAGCGAATGAGCTACAGATGTGAAGGATAGTGTCCCTAACGTAAAACTATATGTCTGTATTTTACGCTGCAAGGGGATTGGCAAGGGACTTGGAGGATATGGGATATGATTTTTTGTGCATACGGCCTTTCGCTGATACCGCTTCATTACTTGACGACGGACTTAGAAGCATAGAACGGATGGGCTGCCGACGTAGGATAGTGTCCCTTTCGGAAAATTATCTGTCTGCATCCTATGCTGCAAGGGGATTGGCACGGGACTTGGAGGATACGGGTTATGAATTTTGTGCATAGGGCCTTCGCTGATACCGCTTCATTGCTCGACGACGGACTTAGGAGCATAGAGCGGATGGGGTGCTGACGTTGTGAAGTAGGGGCGTGCACTGACGAAGACGGGGGTTCGGGGTTGACTCCTTTCTTACCTTTTGGCGGGGTGAGCGCATGTAAGTGCTGCGATGGTCGAATAGTAAAAATTTCGGTTGCGCGGATAAGCTGTGACGATGGGGGACGATCAATAGCACTGTACGGGCATGGGATTTGGGGAGCTATATGGTCAACTCGGAATTCTCCTGCTAATCCTGCAAATGTCGGTTGCTGCTCTACGCTACAATATTTGGACTCAAATCAGCATTTCTATTCTCCTGGCTCACTCAATATATGTGTGTCTACAACTTTACACACACACGCACACACACGCACACACACACACACACACACACACGCACACACACACACACACACACACACACACACACACACACACACACACACAAACAGTTTGATGTATGTTTGTCTTTCTCTTTCTCCCTACACTTTCTCTCTACTTTTTACTTTTTGTGTGCTCAGCTGAGCACCCCCAAGCTGTGCCAAACAGTCCGTCATTCCTCGTTTGGAGTGCCTGCAGCACTCTGTGTTTCCTAAGGGTGATGACAGATGTTCATCTGGGTGACTCCCTGGCTCAGTGGGTGGTGGGAACCAACAGTCTGCGGGATTCACCTGTGATGTGGGTAGGTGGTGTGCCGCTTTGCTCAGTGTTGGATGCATAGACTGCGTTGCCTTGTCTGCGCTCCACCGCTGCCTTGGTGCTCGTCCCGCTTGATTCGCGTGTCATTCATTGTGGTCTGCTGTGTTCACTGTGTGGCGTGGCTGTGGTGTTGATGTTGCCGTGTGCTTCACTGCACAGCTGCCTTGCTGCCCATTCATGTACCGTGCCTTCCACATGCTTGTGTGCCGTGTAGTGTGGCTTCTGTGTCGGTGTTGCCTTGTGCTGTTGCTGTGCTGCTTGTCCGCTTGCCCTGTCGTTCCTTGCAGTTGTTCTTGGTGTTGTGCAGTTGGGTTGCTCTGGCAGCATTGCCTGGTGCTTCGCTGAGTAGCTGCCCGCTAGTGTGTTCCGCTTCTGGACAGTCTGCCTTCAACAAACATGGGCCAAAGGGTTCATGCCCCGAGGGCCCGAACCATCAACTGCAGATTGTCGAGGGTTCGGCCTCCTGATGAGTCGGTGCAACTCCGACGAAACAATCTATCATCACCGTTTATTTTTTTGAGTCGTTGTCTTTTGGCCATGCTTGAATTTCCTTTGGTTGCTGCTTTTGCCTCGCTGTTGATCTGGTTTGCTATCGTTGCCCTGCTGCCTTGTGCTGTTTGCTGTCCCACCCGCCTATATCTTTTTTTTCTTGATGGTGATTCTGATCTTCGTGTTATGGATGTTGGTTCGTGTCCCGTGCCCTCCAGCCTTTGTGCTTTGCCCCCACTTGTCGTTCATCGCAGTACCTCCCTGCCTTTTGCCTTGCTGCTTGCTGTGCGTGCGGCTTTTTTTGTTGTTGTTGCTTTTTTGGTTGTATGACTTTGAGGGTTATCCAATGACTTGACTCACTCAGACCGTACTCACACTAGAACCATCGTCAATGTATCTGACCGCATTTACAGCCAGACTTGGATGTATCTGGCCGCAATTACGTCAAAAAATAAGTAGAAAATTCCTTGTGTGAATATGCCCTCAGATGCATATTGTCCTCCTGAAATGTTGTGATGGTATGGTGCATGGTTTTGTATCATGCTCGGAATAAATGTAAATGTGCTTACACACATCCAAGACACACAGTCCTTCGGGACATCCGTTAGAATTGGAACGATACAGAGAAGATTACCATGGTCCCCTCGCACAAGGATGACATGGATAAATCAAGAAATGGTCTAATTACTAGGGTAGTCACGCCGACGGTAGGCGGCCCCAGACCCGTCGGCTGCCGACCAGCCGACGGTAGGCACCCCGCAAAAAAAAAAAAAAAAAATCTTTTTTTT